GGATGCTGTTCACTGCTGCTGTCCCCATGGAGGAACCAACGGTACTTCTGACTTTTCCTGAGTATGCTTGATGACATCAGAGGAGGTCTGGAGTCAGATACAGGTTAGTTGAGAAGCCGTCAGTAGGAACCCTGAAGATCACAGGACACCAGAGGACTCTGCTCGAGTTGTTTCTTTGTAAATGGGGTGCTGATTGTTGTAGGATGTAGTGAGGGGTTCACTGAGGCCAGTCATAATATACTGAAGATACTCAATAAGTACCAAATGTAGGGCTCTGTACTGTACTACTTCAAGGCCACAGCAAGACCTGTTGAGGTCCTCCAAGGAAACTCTGCCTACCATCGCTGGGTTTGGGATCCAGACCCAGAGAGGCTACACCTTCAGTAGATGGATATAGTGTGTCTGCCTCCCATGTCCACTCAGGCAAGACATATGTACTGACCCAGTGTGTCAGAGGACTGGAGAAAGAGCAGTGCCCCTGCCAGGCAGAGCAGCCACTCTGGCCAGCTGATAGTCTAGCACAGAACACACAGAGAGTGAGCATTTAGGGTCAGGTTAATTTTTCCATTTAGCACATTTGGGAGGCTTCTAAGACATGGATCTTGAAGTTATAAAGCCAGACAGTTCTGAGCAAAGCCGAAAGCCACACACCTGACATGAGTGAGGTCGTGTGTACACAAGATGCCTCTGATGAACTAGCGTATCTGTTGGTTCTCCTCACACTGAGCCACACAGAAGTTTGAAAACCATTAGTTAGACCAAACAACGAGAGAAGCTACTTTGTCTTTTAAGGACTCTTAGTTCCTTGGGGGCAGATGGAGGCCCCAGTGTCCCTGTTCCCGGCAGGCTTTGCAGCAGGCTCCACAGTGTGGAGTTTAGTGTGAAAATTTAGGGTTAAATCCAGTCTGTGTCTCCTGCTAACTGTGCCATAAAATTCTCCATCCATCTCAGCTCTAGTTTCTTCTTTGTGAGACAGGTAGGCTCAGTGTGAGTTGTGACACTCTTGAGCCTGGAGATGTGCATCCTGTCCCTGCTGTGTCCCACATACCTAGGAGAGGCCCCAGCCTTCTGTGACTTCTGTGACATTAGCTGAGTGGATAACATGTGGATGGCTGGGCTGCCCTTGTTTTTATCACTGTTTGTGAGCAGTCTAGGGCAAACTGGACTTGTTCATTTGGGGTGGACTGAATGAGAAAGCAGGGCTGCCCTTTACCTGAGTACCGTGTCTGTGGCCTGGGTGCAGCAGGTTTAGGGTTCAGCCCCACACTAGTGACCCTGTTGAGGGTGCACAGGTTGAAGAGATTCTCAGAGACATGGAGAGGTGCAGCCTGGTCAGGCAATGTCCAGCAATGGCAGTTATTGAGGAAAGACCACAGTGTTGGGGTGGGTAGCTGATTACTCAGACACTATAGGTATCTGAGATTCCACTACCCAGAATCCCTCCTTTGTAAGAGACAAGTTACCTTTGGGGTGCAGATGGGGAGCATCCCTGATCACCTGTAGAGGGGAAGACATCTCCAGGGGACAGTTAATCATCACAGTTCCCTGGCTCCCTTGGCTATCTACTCCGTGTTTCCACCTTGCTCTGTGCCCCCCCTTTGTGTCCATGCCCATACTTCTCAAGGGCTTCAAACCCCCTGCTGTGGCCTGTCCTGCTATCTAGGAGCTCAAGGAGCCATTTCATCAAATTATCCCTCTGGGTTTGCAAAGACATAGAATTCTTGGCAGAAAATGAGCTTTTTGGGGGTGCTAGACACAGAGTGCTTGGATGATTTCCAGCACACCGGTTCCTTTTTTAATGGTCCAGGATGATAGTTCAGCTATTTAATTCAGATGAGGTGACATAATGTCTTTTCTTTGGTCTTACTACCGGCAAGGCGGCCATCAGGCTCCTTGAACCCTCCCTGCAGGACATTCTGTCTTTAGGGTCTGTTTTCTGTCTTTGGATAAATTGACAAGTCCTAGGAAGAGCTGTAGCCTCCAAAAGGAGAAATTGACTGAGAACAGGTCACAACGAGCATTAAGGAATGAAAACGAATCTGTTCTTTTCTCCATTGGATAAGTAGCTGTGCTTGCATCTGTCTCTGTGATCTATGAAATCGGCTGTCAGGGAAAGTCGAAAGTGAACTTCAGCAGAGTCTAGACAGTTTGGGGACAGCGGTGCTGGCCTGGGCAGGGTCAGCAGGAGAGTGGTGCACACTCTCTGGGTGCCTGACCTAGCAGGGACACCTGCACCTCACAGTAGAGTGGGAACCATGTTTCATTCCCATTTCCCAGATGAGGACAACAAAGTTCAGAAAGATCCAGAAACTTAGTTCAGGTCCGTTGGGATGGAACCTGACTTCAGCATGAGGTATGGAGCATATGGCTGGGAGTTTGTGTTGAATGATCTCAAAGTTTTGGTCTCTCCATGCACAGGTCCTTTTATCCAAAGTCAGCTTCTCACACCGCAGAAGTCCCCTCCTCCCTGTGAGGCATCCTCCCTGCGTGGCATCCAAATGCTTAGGCTCAGAGGAGGGAGCACACAAATTTATATACATGCATGTACAGCAGCAGGGTGAGTTGTTACCACTATTTCCATATCTCACACCACATTGTCAGAGCATGGGATAGAGTGCAACCAGCGGACAGTGGGAATCTCTGCCGCCAGGGTCCTCGTTTGCATGGCTTGAATCTGCGCTCAGGTTTTGAACATTTGTTTCCATCTGGTGGCATTGTTTGGGGAGGGGCCTGGCAGGTAGAAGTGAGTCAAGACCCATGAGGAACTTGAGCCAAATAAGCGAACGAGCCCCCCTTTCAGAAATGGTTTCAGGCTTTTGATTGTACATTGGAGAAAACACCACAAATCCTTTCTTTACAATAGATGTCTGGGCTGGAGAAGGGGTTGCAGATGTCAGTATGGCCACCTCTCCTGCTGCTTCCCATGACTCATTCTGGAGCACTTCCCAGCTCCCTCATGCTTTTTCCTCATATCTCCTTCTCGTTTTCTCCTCTTAGACCTGGAATTGTGGGGACAGGCTACTTAGTTCCCTGCTTTATCCTTGGTGCTTGGGCCTGGAGCTGGGAGGGAGAGGGTGTATGTGGATCTCACAAATGTGGGCCCATGTGTCAGAGTGCCAAGTTTTGCAGCTTGTTCATTGTGAATGTATATGTCTAATTTTGAGACAGAGTCTCATTATGTAATCCAGTGGGACCAGGACAGTCTTGAGCCCACTATGTAGTCCAGGCTACCCCAAGCTCAGGATCCTCCTGCCTCTGTTTCCTGAGTGTTGGGTTCACAGGTGTATGCCACTCCACTAGCATCATGGAGATTTAAAATTGACTTTCATTGTTAATAGTCCTATACTAAAGTATCAATTATTTTGGTTGCTAGATTTTTGGTGCTCTCTGAAAAATTTCCTTTCTTGCTTCACCCTACCCCTTCCCTGTGCACACCACACAGTGCCATGGAGCAACAGTCAATACAGATTTGTACAATGAATGCACTCTATGGACATATGGAGACTCATTTCTAGAAAACAGAGATCCCTACACCCTATGGCTGTTCAGATACTCTCTTTGTATCTCAAGGAAGCCAGAGCACCAAGCTGAGCATTATAATTTGGGGACAGCTGTGATTTCTGATGCTGGCAAGTGGGGAGCAAGTGGGTGTCTTGCCCACACCTAATGTTGGAACGTATTTGAACTTGAATATTGAATGTAGATAACAGAGAGAGGGTGTAAGAGACCCACAGCCCCGAAGCCTCCAGGTCCCATCACTTAACCGCAAGAGTACCTCCCCTCTACCGATGACTCTTGCAGTTAAGAGCCACTTGGGTTTAGTGACAGTCGCTAGCTTAACGAGTCCCAGTTGTGTGACCTGACATGCCACGCTCCCACCTTGGTGGGTACCCTGGGCCTACTAGCAGCTTTCCTGTCCTGCTGCCTTGGATGCTTCACTTCAGAGATACATCAGATCTCACTGCTACCTTTGGCTTTATTTCCCTCCAAAGCTGATGTTTTGTTGAGACACATTCTTATAATTAAGGCAAGAGTGAGAAATAACCTCCTATATAATTTAAAACAGTAAAATTATCGATACCTTTTCCAGCCTTGGCTTTAAATCTTTGCCACCAACGACTCCCCTATTAACGGGCCTAATTAAATCCATTTTTCAGCACGTCTTTGGCAAATTCCATTTTAGCAAAACTGTAGGAAGTTCAGTTTGATTTGTCTCTATTCCCCTAGAGCTTGCCTATAAAAGTGAGGGCTGGTGGATGCTTGACTCTGGCCTCTCTGTATTAATTCACTCAATAAATGTTTATTGAGCATTTACTATACGCTGGGGCACCAAAATAGAGAAAGCAGATAGGGAAATGCAAAGATGACAAAGTTCACACGGTCATGGCTGGAGGGGAACAGAGATAATTCATTCACTCAACAAACCTGTACTGGAGTTTAAGGCAGGCTACACTGTGTTGGGTGCCAAGGCTGTGGGGATGAAAGACGGTGATCCTTTAGGTTAGGGAGTGCTCTCAGCCTGGGCTCCTGCTAGTCTCACATGAGGACTGAAAGAGTGCAAATGTCTGTCTCCATAGCTGATCCTATAAATTATCATTTTGTGAAAGGAGTGCTCCTGGGTAGTTGTGATGTTCGGCTAAAGTAGAGAGATTGTCCAGTATGGGAGAAATGACGCTGGCCAGCACAGCATGCTAGACTGGGGATGTGTGTCACAGAAGCCTGGGGATGCCAGTGAGCACAGACTACATCAGGAGCAGGAACTAGCTGCTCACACCTGTGCCATAGCAGCATTGACTGTGGAGGATGGGATATGGCCCTGGGGGCAAAAGAACAGTAAAACAGTGGCCGGGCTTGATCGTGGTGGCTGTGTCAGTGCTGGTGGACAGGAGAGGCCTGCAGGGGGTGATATGGAAAAGTCTTGAGGGTGAAATGTGGTGTTAGCTTTATCATCCTCATGACCCCAATACCTGAGAGAACTCCTTGAAGGAGGGAAGACTTACTTTGGCTCCTAGTTTTGGAGGGTTCTATGATTGCTCAGCTCCATCCACTTGGCAGAACATCATGGCTACAGGCTTGTGTGGCCAAGGAATTTCTTTGTTTCATGGTAGACTGAAAGCAAACAGAGGGAAAAGTACTGGGTTACAAATTTAAGCTGTGCCTCATGTGGCCTAATCCCTCCAGCTGGGTTCTTGAAGTTTCCAGAACCTTCCCAAATAGCACAGCTATCCAGGCTTCAAGCATTTAACACATGGGCCCATGAGGGAACATTCAAATCGTTGTGTGTGCTGGTCAAGGTGGGGAGTGGGGTTGCTTGAGTGACTGGGTGGGTGGTTGGGACATTAGTCAGAGAAGAGCAAGAGAGAAGATTTGATTGACAGCTAGAATCAAGATCTGGTGGGTGGGACCCTGCTCAAAATGGACAAGGTGGTGGGGAGCCACCTGTGACTCATGATGGTAAGGCAGCAACCTTAAGGAGGGTATAAACTCAGAAGAGGAGAAGGTCAGGGTGGGGAGCTTTTAGGAGCATCAGCATTTAAAGGGAGGTTTATAGTATGTGGGGGAGGAATGGCAGGTGGAAGGAAGAGCAGGGGGTGACGTGAAGTCAGGGATGAGAGCGGCACATGTTGATCACTGTAGAGAAACAAACAAAAGGAAAGACTGTATTCTCATAGTTAAGTCAGTTTGGGCGAAGGTGGAGGGCTTCAGCACACTGGAGAGAGGGCAAGGGCGTGAAGCCAGTGGAACACACATAGCGGTCCAGACGAGGGGAGAAGGTGTACCCAGAGAGGACGAGGCCCTGAGGGCATTCTGAGCCTTCACAATCAGAACCTGGAACAGGATGACCCCGAAATCACCACAGGGGGTTGGGAGAAGGAAAACAGAAAAGGAAATCTATGAGATGTAGGATGGTCAGCTAGGGAGCAGTATGCAGAAGCGGAGATGCAGCTTCTTGGGTGACTCCTCCAGATGTGTGGAATATGTACTCAAAGCTGTTCCCCAGGTCCCAGCAGCTGCCATGAATATCAGCAGGATGGGGTCTGGGAGAAAGGCAAGCCCTCAGGTGTGGTGTGCTGTTTATTTGAACTGAGAGAGAAGAAAGGCTCAGGAAACGCAAGACACTTGAAGAACTTATTCTGGAAGCTCAGGAAGTCACAGGACACTCAAGTCCCCTCCCCAAAGTGATCCACAGAAGCAGAGGAGACTCTCAGGTGGAGCTGTCTTTTCACACTTAGTAGGTAGATTTATTGGTTTACCAAGCTAGGTGAAGTTATTTCTATGCTCTGTTGTCAGTGCCTGATCTGGGGTGAGCAGAGATGCTCATTCACATCTCCACAGGGAAAGCACCAGATAAAAGAAATAAAGCTAATGTACATGTAAAGGAGGGTCAGAGGAACTTGGAAAAACAAGGATTGGCCCCTTTAAGAAGGGCTGCTCCTTGGTTATTTTCCTACCCTGGAGGAGATTGTAACTGTTGCGAAGTCTAAGGCTAGGGTATATGATGAGGTAAGACACGGGAAGGCCCTGGAGCCTATGAACAACCAAACCCAGAGCCCCCAGGTCAAGCCCTAATCCTGGGGTATCACTAATTAAGGGGCTGGGAGCTGTTTGTTCTTATAATTTTTTTTCTGTGCCTGGTGCTTTCATTCTGTCCGTTGCCCCCAGGTCTGTAAGGCCCTCGAGTCTGTAACTGCCCTCAGATGGGAGTTCTAACCGTTATTTTGTGTCAGAACCCTGCTGTCTCTGCTACTTTCGCCCTGGTTGACTTCGAGACATCAGATCTCTAGGTGTCTCACCTACAGACCCCTCTGCCTCTCCCGTCTGAGGGAGACTTTTCTAAGACCTACAATTTATTGCCTGTCCCCTTGGTATGACTTCAGCGCTAACGCTACATGACCCCTCCTCACTCAAGACCCCTGTAACACTTAGAAGCTGGATGAAGTGATGAAATGGTAAGAGCCTAGGGAGATGTCTGGGGTGTGGAGGGTGCCAGCTGAAGCAGGGCTTAGCGTGTGCTTTCTGGAGGAGTTGGCTCCTTAGGATTGAGTGGGGAGGGTGGGTGAGAGAGGACGGAGATAGAAATGACATGGACACGGCTCGGGAAGCGGCAGGCTGAGCATGGAATTTGTGACCTTGGGGGAAATGATAGGTTTTTGTTGGTAAGCAGAGGCTGGGGTCCAAGCTCATGCAGAAGTTGATCAGACTTGGTCCCCAGTCCCTTCTTCATCCTCTCCATTTAGTCTGCCATGATAGGGAGAGCGTCTTACACACACCCACAACCAGGATGTTCTGTTTCACTGAGGACCCAGAATCTGCGACCCCAAGGACTGCACTTCGAAATCTTGGAAACACCCAAACAGCCTCTTCCTACTTTTCTCCTTTAAAATATTTGTTTGAGACAGGGTCTCATTCTGTCGCTTAGGCTAGCCTGGAGTTCTCCCTTCCCCAGTGTCCTAAGCAGTGAGCCAGGCTAAATCCTTAGTTACTAAGTTTTTCTTTAAACATTTTGGTTATGGCTGTGCAACAGTAACTGCCAGACCTGAGTGTACCAAAGATGTGGGCTCACCATTAGCTTCCCTTCGGAGAATCCAAGTTGGATTATCTGGAGGGGATATTTTCTTCTTTGTGTGTGTGTAGTGGATGTGTGAGTGTGAGTGTGTTCGTCCATCCATGTGTGAACACGTCTGTGGAAGTCGGGTTGATGTTGGGTGTCTTCCCCAGTCACTCTCCACCTTATTTTTGAGTCAGGGTCTCTCACTGAACCTGGAGCCCACTGACTGGATAGACCGACTGATCAATAAGCCCTGGGTATCCTCCTGTCTCCACCGTCCTCTCAGCTCTATGCCTATGGGGATTCTCTTGACTAGGTACATTGAGGTCAGAAGGTCTGCCCACTGTGGGGAACACATCCTCTGGGCTGAGCTCCTCCAAGTGTATAAAACAGATAGTAAACCAAGAACAAGCATTCAGCGTTTTCCCCATTCTCCACTTCATGATTGTGGTGGTGGTGTGGCCATGTCACACACATCCTTCTGGAAGAACTCCTCTGCCACAGTGGACCTCTGACTGTGAGCCACAAGAAACCCTCTTGGTTTCTGTTGTTTTTGTCAGTCTTTTGTCATAGTACCAGAAAAAGAAACTAAGACCCAGAGTGTTCTACAAACCAAGGGGAGAGAGTTTCAGAAAAAGGCCAAGCCACAGAGTGTGGCACTCCTGAAATGTCAGGCAAAGGCAGACTAAAGCTTCTAACTCTCCTGTTTTTCTGATGAGGAATGGACAGAAGAAATTCTTCTTGAGTGCCACTGCAAGTGAGCAGCATAGCCTCTGTGCCAGCTAGCTATTGCTGTGCAAGGGGGACCGCCACAGTGAAGTGACTCAAACCCACTGAGATTTATGTTCTCTTGTAAGCCCATCACTTGGTTGGGGGTATTCTGCTGACATGGGACAGGCTTGGATGATCTTGCCTGAACTTACTGAAGCCACTGGGTGGACTGGCTGGGGTTTGGCTGGCCCAGGATAGTCTCTGTTTCTGCTCCACGTGCCTCTCAGAATCTAGGCAGAGGGAACAGATGGACAAGGACTCTGAAGTGAGCTTGGCTGTGTGAGGAAGAGGACAGAGGTCCAGTGTATCTGGGACAGTGTGTGTGTGGGGATAGCTCAAGAAATTAGGAGTGGAGAGTGGGTTAGGGGTGGGTGAAGCATAGAGGGGGAGGTGGGACTGGAGAGAGACCAGGAGTCCCTTGTAGAGACTTACACTTTGCCTCTGGTGTTAGAGTTCTTCTTCATGTCTGCCCTTAGTGACTCCAGGTTGGCTTTCTGCTCCTTGGCATTTCTCTTGGCTCTGCTTGGCGGGGAGACTTTGTCCCTGCCATACCTCCCTGATAGTCCCTAATTCTGTGGAAAAGAGAAAGAGGGCCTTTTTTTGTGTGTGTGTGAAATTACCTATGTTAACATGTAATGATTTATTTTATATGAATTTAAACATCTCATGTTTAACAGATAATGTTACACATTTCCATAGCTTAAAAAATATAAAACTCAAGGACAGCTTTTTAGGGTTTAAGAGAAAAACAAACCCTTCCATATATATATATATGTATATATATATATATGTGTGTGTGTGTGTGTGTGTGTGTGTCAGAGAGAGACAGAGACAGAGACAGAGACAGAGAGGAAGTAGATGTGAAAATGTCCAGGGGATAAAGGGAGGGGGTGTCTTGAAAGGGAAGGGTAGTGGGGCATGGGAGGATAGCTCCAAGTACAGTCATACTTGCATGAAAATGGCCCTATGTAACCTGATATAATAAAATGTAAAACATCTAAAATCCAAGAGCAGAGATGGAGAGAGGGAAGGAGGGAAAATGAAGTATCTCAAAGTCCCTGCCTTTCGATTTCCTTCCTTGAGTGGTGCAGGGCAAGTCAGCACTCCTGGCTCAGGTCAGTCAGCCTCATGCCTAAAAGCCCATCTTGCTGAATAGGGGATATGACCCATGCCAGTTCAGCTCATCTCCTGCTTTTAAATAAAGTTTTACTGGGACACAGTTCTACTCATCAACTGTAGTTGATGGTCCCTCTGTGCCACTTGGAAAGAATTCCTTAAGTTTTTATCAGTTGCTCCTTTGAGAGACAGTTAAACCTAGGGCAGAGCAGGAACACGCTCAAGGGAGATGACTGTGCTCCTCCATGAGTTCTCTCACATGGGGTCTTTCCTTCTTTTAACTTATTATTGTTTTGACTTTTATTTGTGTATGTTTGTGCAGTGTGTGTGTGTGTGTGTGTACAGGTAAATATACATGTGTGTTGGCATTTGTGTGACAGCCAGAGGTGGAGAGGTGGACGTTGGGTATCTTCCGAGATGAACCCTCACACTGGCTTTTGAGGTAGTTCCTCACTGAACCCAGAGTTCACTGGTGGCTCAACAGCTGCTGGCCAGTGATCTCTAAGGCTCTGTGGGTCTCACTTCTCCTTTCTCCTCCCCCACTCCCAGCGCTAGGGTTACAGGTGTAACCCACCACACCTGGCTTCTATGTGACTGCTGGGGACAGGACTCAGGTCCCCATGATTGTAATGTCAGGCACTTTATCAAGTAGGCTACCTCAGCAGGTCCTCCCCTCTTGTTTGAAAGACACTAATTGCACCTTGAAGGAGCCACCCTTATGGCTTCAGCTTCATTGGAAAGCCCAACTTATGGGTAACACACGATTTTAGAAAACCAGAAAAATATTCAAGTTTCTGGAAGTCTGTAGCCTATAAAACATCACCTTATGAATGCTGAGGAAGCACACATAAGCCTCTAGAACATCTGACATCTCTGTGGGTGGCTGGCTGGGAGGCCTGAGAGTCCTGGTGAGGACCTCAGTGTGAAACTATAGGCCTTAACTGGAAGCTCTCCAGAAAGATGCTGTGGTGTAGGGTGTGGGTGGGGTCACTGGGTAAGAATTCAGATCTCGTTTCAGTAGTTTCTGCAACTGTGGACAATATACCTGCTTTTAGAAATGCAGAAGAGAAAAAAATCAATATTGCAACTCTCACGGCCAATCACGCCACAGAAGTGGCAATTCTGTCCCCAGCATGTCTGCACGAGTCTCTAAACAGGGCGGCGGAGTCTGGGGTAAGGGAGGCTCGTAAAAATGACCGATGCAGATATTAATGATTTAATCTGCTAACGTGGTGTGGCTGCCTCAGAGAACCCCATTCGTCAGCGCTCAGGACCCACAGAGGAGCCGTGCAAGGGGCTGGTGCAGGAGGTGGCAGGAACGAAGATGAATCACAGAGTGCAATATTGATTTGCCCCGCCTGCAGCCACCTCTGTTTGGAAATATGGAAAGCAAATTAATGAATAAATGAGCTGGCTTGGTGAACCGTGCCCCACTGGGAGCGCTGGTATTTAAGCTGTATACGCCAAACAGTGTCTAAGCAGGGGCTGGGCGCGTGGGTTGGGGGATGGATACATGCAGCTCTGGACGACAGTAAGGCCCGGGGACATTGCCCGTCAGGAGACAGAGTCTAGCTATCTTGCTGCATCCCAGGCTGGCCTGGAACTTACCAGTCTCCTGCGTCAGTTTCTCGAGTGGTGTATGCTGCCAGCCGCAGCTGGTCCTCTCAGTTCCTACCTCAGAGGAAAGGCCTGAATGGGAGGATTCAACTAGATAGTGGATATCTTTCCTGAAGTCACTGCTTAAATAAAATTCCTCCTCGTTTTAAAGACTGTGTGCATGCGTGGGTCGCATGCACACGAATGGACAGGGACGTGTGCCGCTGCCCACACCCTTGCAGACCCAGGGAGGATGTTTTCCTCTCCCACTCTCTCCCATCCAAGCTGGTTGGCCATCGAGCTCCCTGTCTGTACTGCAGTCACATCCACACCCAGCTTTTATTTACTTTTTTATTTTAGAGATTATCATATAATTATTACACATACATCATTTCCTCCCCTTATTCCAAATGTTCCCTTGTACCCTTCTTTGCTCTCTTTCAAATTCATGGCCTTTCCCCCCATTAATAATTGTTACACACACACACACACACACACACACACACACACACACACACACACACACACACACTCCTAAATAGAACATGCCCAGTTTGTACAATGTTACTTGTATGCATGTTTCCAGGGCTGGCCATTAGGCACTGGACAGCTAAGTGGTGTGTTCTTCCCTGGGGAAGGTGATTTGTCACATCCTCAGCATTCCTTAATAGTTTGTAGTTTTTTGCATAGGTTGAGGCCACAGAGCTTTAGGCCCCCCCCCACATTAGTGTATCTGTTGTTCTTGTTCAGCTCACATTTGGGCAGTCATGCTGGTGAGGTCTTGTGAGTGCAGTTTCTAACATTGCTAGGAGACATTGTCTCATAGTAAATTCCCTGATCCTCTAGCTCTTACAGTCTTTCTGCCCTGACTTGCACAATGTCCCCTGAGCCTTAGGTGTGGGGTTATATTGTGACTGA